GGATCCAGACACACAAATTCTACCATCATGAACTTTCAAAATTGATTGCACGGAGACAAGGGGGGAGACGGAGAAAAGCAAATCACGACAGTTTCACTTTCACCAGGGCCAGGGGAGACAGAAACAGAGAGCGGAAGACGAAGACGAATCAGCCGGGGGAAATCAGTAGTAGAAACCATGGAAGTGAAATCGGAATGAATTGATTGATTCAGAGGATGAAATCACGGAGGGAAGGGATACAGAAGGAGAGTGAGTAAAATTACCTTCTTCGACACATTCGAAGCCGCCTTCTCCACCAGCTTCTTTACGAACATCACTCCGCTGCCGGCCGATCAATCACTCCTTTATTCTTCTACTTCTTCCAAGGTAAGGCCGATCAAATCTCGACTAATTATCAATCAATCCCCGCAGTTCCCTCTTGCTTGCCTCGATACCGTTCTTCTCCCCCGTTTTCTGATTACCAGCAGCAGCTTTGGGATAACAGCCGAAAAAGAGAGCACCGCGACAAGAAAGAGAAGAAAGCGAAAGGCTGGCTGGCTGGCCTAAAGCCGGAGAAGATCAATGGAACTGTTTGTTTTCTGCTAGACAATTCTTGTGTGTAATAGAGAGAGAGTAATGAGAGAGATCCAGTTGGATTTTTGCAGTTAATTCCCAGAACTTTTCTTTCTTATCTGTTTTGGAGCGCAGCGGGGCAAACAAACGAGCAGTTTTTTATTTCTCGTTTTTGGTATTCTACTTAATATATTGTTATAAATAAAATTTTAATTGCAAAAATTAAATCACAGGATCTTCCCATCCGTTACACTTTCACGCGTTTGAGTTGAGCCCATTAACGTCTCAATTTGAACCAAAAACCCAATTTGGACCGGTCCATTACCACTCCTGGGCTTGCTAGCCCTCACAGAACACAGTTGGATTTGGTTGACTGACACCCTACACCAAGAGATGCCATTTAACCCGATCCTATATATACCCAACCCGATCAAAGCAGATAAAATTCAGTTTAACAATTTTGTCCTAATTCAAAATTGGCAGGTTGGATTTCTCAATCCAACTACTTTCCACCCTTTTACCCACACACATAAAATAAAATGATGTCATTTTGTATTTAAGTGGAACAATATGAATCATTTAGGAATGTTATTACTCTTTATGGCAATATAAACCTAAAAATATGGGTATTTTATGGATATTAGTATTCTTCATGGAGATATATTTATAGAGAAAATTTCGATATGAGAGTGCTCAAAGAACTAATATATTGTTATGTTTGGGTATCCATACACTCGTAGGTACCGTTTGATTGGGTTTTGACTTCTATACCCTAATGTGTATTTTTACCATTCTTTTAATGATGTATTCACTGAATTGAGTTACAATTTAAAGAAACCAGACCCAATCCAATCCAATCCATATTCATCCCTTTGTGACTTCCAATCGGTAACTTCCCATCTAACCCCCTCCCATTAGACAGGTTGTAACCAGGCATCCTGAGGAAACTAGTACGGGGTGTCCTAATTTTATTTGTCTTTATTTGCACTTAAAAATCTACGAAATGGAATTATCTTGGCTCATTTTTAATTACTAGCTTGTCCGATCCGTTGGTCAGAATGTTATTTGAACACAATATATTTATGATGTGTATTTAAATTTTTAAATTAATTAAAATGTTGAATTTCGTATGACATCAATGTGACATGGAAATTATTTTTCCATTTCCAAAATTCTTATAACGTTTTATCAATGGTGAACATTGTAATCTTAACGGTTATAACCAAAGTTGTCAAACCGGTTTAATTCGTTGAGTCGGTCAAGCAAGTGGTTTGAAGTTTAATGGTTTGATTGAGGTCCAACCTGTTTGAGTCGTTTTACACATTTTCTAAATATATTTACATATAAGATAGAAATTTACTGACTAAAATAGAATGTATTAACTTATATCTATTAAAAACTCAAATAGTCAAATTCCACAAAAATATTACCAACCTCAAGATCCACCCACCATCCCCTTGCCTCTTCCCCCGCCTCTCTCTTCTTCTTCTCTGTATTTAACGATGAAACCCTTGATTTTGTAAAGCCGCTTTTGGAGCCCGACTTTGGTCAGATCTAGTCCAACCAGTCGCCCGGTAGAGGTGTCACAACTTTGGTTATAACATTTGTGAATAACCGTTCATAACTTGTCTATTTAATGATGTAGTCAGTTAGTTGCCTATGATTGAAAAGAAAATTGACATAACAAAAAAAAAAGTTTGTCTGAAAAAGCGTTGCATAAATAGAAACTCATGTGATAACCTTTAGTCAATATTTATTTCTTTTGTTTGAGAAACAATAGATATATATCAATATCTAAACCTTTAAGTATTCTGCACAATACAATAACAAAATTAGTAAGAAAATAACATTTTCCATCCATACTCTATGCAATGAAAAAAGTATTTATCAACCAAGATACTCTAAATTTAGTTGAAGGACAATCTTATTCACTCAACAAAAAAATTAAACATATCTTGTGGTACCTACCTTGATAATGTACACGACCCCATCAACGCGTCCATGAAAACTCCAGCCCGACTTTCATGATTTGTCTTGTACTGCGTTATTTCATATTAAACTACGTAACTATTAATGATACATCTAGTCAATTACCCTATTGAAATCATCTATAAAAATTGGTATTCATAAATTGTGTTCTCTTAAACTCACTCATTTTTTCAATCATGCCATATTATCATGAAATTTAGGATTTAACGATTAACCAAACTAAGACTTTCAAAAACTGGTTACTTACAGTTTGCATAACAATATCGTTGCTTTAATAGTTCTAAAAATTAATACCAATTTAAGAATTCTGCATCACATCTACACATTAAATAATGCAATTCAATATGAAATATTCGAATCAATAATATTTAGGTTGCAATTTTAAAATTATTCTCCATTTATAAGAGGACATAAATTATATTTACTATTAAACTCAAATTAAAATAATCAAAATATGAAAATTAAAATATCAAATAACAAAGAAAGTACTTTCGTGAGAGTTAGTGGGCTAGCTAACAATAGTGGAAAAGTCATATTATAATTTTTCGATTTTATGTTTTCAGATTTTGTATTTAAAAAGGTACAATATATTTCCTTTATATAATTGGTAATAGTTGTTGTCTTTGTTTTAAAATACTATTGTTTGAATCTCAAGATTGATGTTTTTTTCTCTTATGAATGAAAAATAAATAATGATTGCGAAGACACAATTACCCTTCCTACTTTCGCTCTCGTTGCACAAAATTCGTGATGCTGAAAAACTGCTCTCAACTCTGTTATAATATATTTGTAGATAATCAGATGTCAATTAAAGGATCAAGACTGTTGTCTGGCTGTGTGCGAGTTGTTTGGGACGGGTTCGGATTAGGTCAGTAACCCTCCTATCAGTAACTGTCAGTAATCCAATCATTTATCTCCACGTGTCAGCCTTTTCCTTTTATTTAAATTAAATACGTAGGGACAATAGGGTAAATTGCACCCCCTATTTAACGCTGATGCTCTGACGCTGACTTTTGACCAGACTCGGATCCCACTCCCCCACCCACACTGGTTCCTCTCTCTCTCACTCTTTGTTTTATTATTAAAAGAAAAGATACAATATTTCTTCTCTCTCTCATCTACAACAAAAATGAATCTAACAATCCTAGCTATCTCTATTCTAATTCCAACTCAAATTGAATGATGATTTTTTCGTTAAATAATTCACTGCTAAAGAAAATAATTACAAATATGAATATGATTATCACTTGGTAAAACATGCTACAGAAATTTACAAATCTAATTTACCATACCATATGGTATAACATGCTAAAATAAAATTAAAAATTCAACTACCACCACATGGTATAACTTGGTAAAATACGCTATAGAACATTATAAATCTAACCACCATAGTAGAATATGGTAAATCGAATGACCACAAATTACTTATAATTACCATACAATATCACATGGTATGAGAAGGTAAAAACATATAAAAACAATATAATTCTAATTACAACCCTCTACGACCCGATATAAATATAAATTTCTCGAAATTGGTATCGATTAGCACCCAATACCATATGGTATAGTGTGGTAATATCAATATATATGTCGTTACTTACCACTCAATACCATATGGTATAGTGTGGTAATATCGATATATATTACGTTACCACCCAATATCATATGGTATAGTGTGGTAATATCAATATATACTTCGTTACCACCCAATATCATACGGTATAGAGTGGTAATATCAATATGTATTACCTAAAGTAAAAAAAACAAAAGGCGAGAGAGAAAAAATTATTGGCATTATCAAATACCCTTAAATCTCAAAATTACAATAATCGTATTAAGGAAAATCTTCCAAATGATAATATTAATTTAGTATTTTAAATTGAAATGGAAAAAATATGTCAAATATAATGTCATCTTCTAAAATAAATCAAAACTCAACAGAATAGGACCAAGAATATCCACTAATCAAAGCATAAGGGCAATTATTTTACACTACCTAATTTTCCTCCTCTTTTAAATGTCCTCTCACTCTCTCTTTGCCTTCCTCTTTGTTCTTCCATTTCTCTCTCTCTCTCTCTCTCAGCTTTGTATCCCACAACTCACCCTCTTTCCCCTTCCTTTTTCTTCCCACTGCTTTGGAATCGAGAGAAACCTAAAAACATCTCAATTACTTCTCCAATTTTGCATTGAAATGCTTCTTCTCGATTGACAATCGATTGTGTGAATTAGAGCACCTGAAACTTGGCGAATAGATGATCGCTTATTCATCGACGGAGCAAAGTAGCTTGATAGCTTGTGAATAAACTAATTATTAAAAGTGATAAAAAAACAGAACTCGTTGATAGCTTATTCACCTACTAGTTGAGTGATCATGTTCAACCCCACTCCACATTCATTTGTTTCACCACTAAAGAACTAAATAGGCTAATGACCCTTCTGCAAGTCCAAATAGATTATGAAAATTAATGTTATTAGGGGGAGAAACTGTGTCGTTGCGGTTAACTGCATCGAATAAGCGCAGTTAATAGCAATTGCACAAAGGAAAAACCACCCACCGTTACCGCAATGCAAACGGTTTGCGTGAACCACTAACCGCAAATTACAGTTAGTAGTTAATTGCGGTTAATTGCACTTCAAACCACACAATGCGATTAAGAGTTAAACGGTGCAAACGACGAACTCCTCCTCCTCCTCTGTCGCTTATGCTTTGCTCTACTTCTCGACGGTGACGGACAGGAACGCCTGCTCCTCTACTCGTGCACGCCACCGGTGGAGCTGGACGCATGCTCGTGCTCCGCTGCTTGGTGCTCGTTGCACGCTGGCCGATGTTTTCCTCTTCGCCGACGATAGTCGACAAAGCCACAAAGGTTTAGGCGTCCAGAAGCGCTGTGACCTGCGAGCAACAAAGGAAAGGTCGAGACTAGAAAGGAAGGAATGGAACCCTAGGCCAATTTGGGAACTTGGAAGTTTGTGGATAAATTGGGGCTTTGGGCTGGAGAGGGATTGAATTTTTGGTTGTTGGATGGGTTAGGCCTGGGCTGGTCATGCACGATAAGTTATTGGGTGGGGGTTACTTATCCGGTGCGGTGTGTGGTTAGTTCACAAACCGTAGAAGAGCCAATTCCACTAACTGTTACCAAATAAAGGCCCTTTTAAACGGTTTGCGGTTAACTATAAACCGCTCTTATTCGGTGTGATTTCTGTTTAACCGCAAAACCGCAATCGTTTTCCCACCCCTAAATGTTATTTAAGATGGATCTCGTGACATTAGATTTTAAAACCAAAATCACAAAGTATTGCACATAATACGAGCACAGGGGGTGCTTGTTTTGACCAAAGTACGCAGCATCAATCAATCAAAGAAGAACCTTGATTGAACGAATAAAACAAACTAAAAATATATTGTTCTTGGGTGTTTGAGACAGAACGGAACCAAACATGCTATTCCACACCTGGGGAAAGGCTCGATTCGTATAAGGATAGATGTCCGGCCACGATTGAAAAGACTATTCAATCGATACAAGAGCTCACGAGGTTGGAATCCACCAAACTCACACAAGTTCGCAAACTTGCACAAAACCAAAGGGTTTCTATTCAATTCGTCAAAATCCTCAAGCTCAAAACCAAGGTAAAAATCAATATTCTGCTAAAAACTAACCCTAAAACCCGAGTTTCAACCTTTATATAGGTCTGGACAATTAAAAATACAAAAATAACTTAAACACACAAAAATCTCGTCGGTCAGACCCGAAACCCGATCTAAATACCCGGTTAGATATTTTGGGTCTCAGGCCGGGGAAATTCCCTGGACGGAATACCTGCCCTTCCCCCTGTTTCCACTGGTCGCGAATTCTTCCACGATAAAAACCCGATCGCTACAACTGCTAGAGCCGCCAGTTCCTTTCCTCCTTGTCTTCATCTTGGCCCCGTTGGAGCCGTCATTGGGCTCGCATCAACACAAGATTGGATATGAGTCAAATGGGACATGACACTCTCATCATATTAACCGGTGGTTAATGATTCATCGAATTACATCAAAGTACATCCAACATATGTGATATACGCTGGAGCATCCACTAACTTTATATGTATAAAAAAACTAAATAGAGTATCGGATTCCCTATGAGGTGGTATGATATATGGGACTTTTTCCCCCTTCATATGATCGTTGATTAATATTCCATTTGCTAACACCGCTTCGCTAAAGTGGATGGACATTGGACACGCATGAAGATCCATTGAATAAAGTATAAACTCTATATATGGAGGAAAGAAGAAGCCAATCACTATGATAATACGAAACTAATTACATACTAGCTAGTGTCGAAAATTTAAATTTACTTACTGTGTGCTGCTACGTTTGGTTGATAACTCTTTTTTTTTTTTTTTTTTTTGGGTATCTGAGTAGCTATATAAAGTAGCCTCACAAGTAATTAAGTAGGTGAAGAAAGAGAAGAACGCCTGGAAGATCCAAACATCTGGTCCAGAAGGATCACAAGCGCCATAGCTAACGAGGTGTCCATCATGTCGGGCCGAACTATGAGGCGGAAAACATCAAACCCAAAAGCAACACCGCCGCCGCACGCCGCCTCCTTCTGCCGGATCTCCGCCACAATCCGCCTCTTCGAATCATACATTGTACATCGTCTTTGCGCATAAGATCCTTCTATCTCATACACTAAGTTGTTGTTACCACCACAGTGGCTCACTTGCGCCAAACATTTCGGATTGAGCACGCTCATCGCCTTTTTCCGCACACAAAATTTGGGATTCGTCGTCGTTTCGCCCTCGAACACCAACCAGCTCTCTGTCAGGCTCATCCTCTACACATAGAGACACAAACCAAAATATTTGATAAGGAATATGACTCTGTCAAATTACATAACAATTCGTATTATATAACATAATACGACTCGTACCTTGCGGCGGCTGGTGAGGAGGGGCTTGCCGGCGGCATCCATGAGGAAGATCTCGCCGTTGTTGCCCGATGCGGCCATGTAATTGTCGACCCTGAAAACCAGGTTCCCTCTGGCGTCGAATACAGTAAAGCCGTTGCAGTTGAAGAGCAAGGATTTCTTCCATACCGTCAGCACGACCTGCTCCGACGATGACGAGTCGTCGGCGGCGGCCGAGCGATGATCATTTGACAATCTAGGGAGCTGGTTGCGAGACCACCGCGATGATGAAGACTGGTTACTGAACCTGGCGGTTGCTGTGGGTGAAGAAGCCGAGTTTGGGTATACTTTTGTCATATTCAGATCCTGATCAAATGTTCTTGAGAGAGAGAGAGAGAGAGAGAGAGAGAGAGAGATGGGGAAATGTTTGTTTTGAGAGATGATGTTAACTAGAGAAGAGAGTAGCTGATGAGAAAAGTAAACCATTAGGCCTTCCATGACCGACGTTTTATATCCAAAGCAATGGGCAAAAGGTAGGGCCACAAGTTTATAAATTACGTCTCCTGTCATACTCCAATAGTCATTTTATCAAATTTGTTGATTATATTATATTATTATTCCTTTCATTTTCCTGAAATTTTTACTGCCGACCATATGGAATTATCACTTTCAATTAGGTCAGTCCGGCCGGCGAAGGTACTAGTTCACATTTTATACATGCGCGCGTTTGTAACTATTAGTTGTTCTTGATATATTTTGACAAATCAGAATAGTTGGTTATTAAATTATTCTTGTAATAAGTTTAGAAATTATACATAGGGGTTCACCTATTTAATATGAAAAAAAATGTATTTTCATTTCACCAAAATTAAAATTTACAATATTTATATATATGTTCAATACTACATAATTACAATACCGTACATATATGAAACAAATAAGCCATCGATCTACTCTATAAGCTAACCCTAATTACAATAAAATACATATATTAAACAAATATATAACAAATAAGTCCTCAATCTACTCTATATACAATAATATACTAACACCATTAGAAGTTAGAGTATAGTATAATATTTCAAAATCTTGATAATTAATTATATAAATAGATAGACTCTATGGCATACGGTAGATTGAACAACATATGTATATGTGACAATTTAATAAAAGGTATATTCATGATTATTTAGGTTAACTTTTTAAGTAGGAGTTATTTGAAATTTGATGGACAATTCTTGTCAATCATTTCACCATTCTTGTGAATGTGAAGGTCGATTGCAACCATTTTTAAGTTGACCTTTTTCGAGCTAGAGCGCAGTTAACCCCATCAAATTACAATAGCAAAGTACGCATTACCAATAATTGTCACTGTATATACATTGAATTTAAAATTTCCCGAAATGTACCATTGGAAAACCATCAACGAGCACTTGAACATTGTAAATTCAATTGGACTTTTGTAAAGTAGACCGATTCCAATTAACTTAATTTATACCTTTGTGAGAGAAGAATAACACAAATAAATAAATAAAAAATACCCCACTCACTCACTACATAGTGCTCTCTGCGTCCTTCCTCTTCCTGCACATCACTATCAACACCACCAAGCAAGCTAAGCAACATAGGAGGATAAAAAGATGCCTTCCCATAGTTATTGCAATGGTTGAAACTGAAAGAAGGAATAAAATAACATCATTGGAGATATGCATTGTGCGCCACCCCAACTCCAACGCCTCATATTAAACTAAAGGGAATTTTATAGAAAAAAAAAAAGAGGAATTCAAAACGACTTTTTGTTTCATTGCGTTTCCATGGGATAAGATTTCCTGTTTAGAATAATTGTTAACTAGGTGGCAAGGTTGTCAACCCACGGGTTGACTCGGACCCGATTGAGCTAGTGGGTCAAGGGTTAATGGGTCATCCGTTTTAGCCCAGAAATATCGAAAGCGTCATTATATTGTACTTATCCTGATAAATTATATCAAATCTCATCTAACATATGAGTTATAATATATAATATTACACCAAAATAACATTTCGTACTTAGATTCAATGTATAGTGAAAATTCACACACACTTAGGATTCCAAAGATTGAGTTAGGCAAAAAGAAAAATCGAAAAATAGGCGCATTTCGCAAAACAAAGAAAAAAATGACACAATTTGACCTCCAACCCGGTACCTTATAGCGGTCGACCCGACGGATGCGTGCGACCCGTTTTTCTCACCGGGTCAGAGTCAAAGTGGGTCGACCCGCGAGTTGACAAGCTTGCTAGGTGGTGTTTGTTTAGTGCAATGATATGGAGATATTTACAAGTTCCTTCAATTATACATAATAAATGTTTGTGGCTGAGAACCAATTTGCGGTGCCATTGCGGACCCAACACAACAACCCTCCTTTGGATTAACAGATATTTTAATATTTTAACCTCTTTGGGGAAGGGAATGAATGGAGTTAGTAGTAGCACCTTCCAACCTGTGGCTCTTAGTCCATCCACACTGGCGGTTGGCCAATTTATACAATGAGAATTATATCAATGGAGTAGCTAGACACAAAGCTTATGATGAAATTAATTTTGTAAGTAATACAGAAAAATAAAATAAGAATTTAAATTATTTATTAAATTGTATTCGCTTTTTTTTTTTGGAAATTGTTTCCTTTTCGTGGTTTGGAGTAGTCCATAAAAATTATGTTAATTTTATCATTGTAACATAGGTAGATAAACAGTGAATTTTTTTTATTGTAATGATAAAATAATGTCAATATTTTATTTCATTAACAAATTCAGTTGAGTCCACCAATGGAAAGTATATGGTTGACATTAATATAGGTGTAATGAAATTAACACAGGTTGCAAAGTTGTTAAGGTGTTTTTATATAAATATTTTAGAAAATATTTGAGTAATGACTATTTATTAGCCAAATCTTTTTTTACATTATATTTTATTAGCCAAACCTATTGAATTACTAAGAATTAGTCAAATATTTTGTAATTCATCAATATATTAGTCATTTTTACATTATCGTTAATTATTTTGTAACTCTTTTCTTAGTCATAAGCTTATCCATCTATTTACTACTTCGAAATGAACGACAAATGAGGTAACAGGTTCCAACCTTTACATTGCTCACTTATATTTTAGTCCATCGAGGACAATGTCATGTTTAAAGTGTGGGGTGGAATGGTTATCACGTATTATTTCATTATGCTTGACACGTCATATATTTAGTTGTAAATTTTTGAATTTTTTTGTAGTTATGGTTCATGTTTGAAAAGTTTCGAAATGCTAAAAATGTTTTATCCATCTATTGGTTTGTGTAGTCATCCCCTACAAGCATGTTTATTACTCATTTTACTTTGAATCGATGAAATTCGGAATTTCACTTAATCTAGAGAGGCTAGTGTAAGTATGAAGGATGTGATAGACAATGAGATACTATGAACATGTTAATGTGTTTTGAATGCTATCTATTTGATTCGTTATAGATTGCTAATTATGCAAAGAGTCTCCACTTTTCAAAAGTTTTTTTCCATAGGATGAACTCTACCTTTTATCAAATGCCAAAACTACCAAATCTAGACGTGAAAGTATCATTTGTGTTTGTCATGCTATGAAACAAAGTGTGGGGTAAGCTCAACGTATGATGTATCTATTCATTGCATAAAAAGAGTTTTGGAAGAGATACCATTTGAGTTTTAGTTCTCCGGTTAGATCTTGGTTACTCTCTAGTACAAGTAAAATTTTCACATATTAAATATATTGTCCATTTGAGGATGTGTTTTTAAGGGCACGTATAAAGCTTACGACACAACTTGATTTCATTGACCTCCAAACGAATTGAAGAAAAAGAGTTGAAATAAGTACACCAATGAATGCATAGATACAAAATTGCTCTTGCTCAACTAATAAAGATCTAATGGTCTATTAAATAAACAACTCCCTATACACGAGAAAATACTTTTTTGTGAGAAAATCAAGAAAATTGATAAAAAGAGTATGTTTTTGAAAGGTATGTGTTTTGAGACTCATGTATTATTGGTTGTTTATGATTGAGTTGGGTTTCCTGCTATTCATGCATACTAATGTGGTCAGAGTTCTCTCGTGCTATTGTTGAACACTTGAACTTTTAAGTTAACTTAATATTCACTACCTAAGATCGAGGTTAAGAGAGGTTTTCTAATATTCATTGAGTTGTAAGATTGTGAGTAGTGTTTGCTTAGGGACAAGAAAAGCTCTAGTGTGGATATTTCTAATGATGCTCAAATTATATTGTTAATCACCCCCAATATTTGATACATTTCTCATTCTATCAATGCACCTTTAATATTGATATATTATATCAGCACAAAGCCCTCAATACTTCATATGAGCCCATGAGAATCCCACTGTAAAAGTTTCAGCCTAGAAAAAGGAAAGAACCAGCGATGGGTCCAACCACCATTGGGTCGCCATCAACCCATACCTCATAAGTCGTGTCCAAATTCGATGGAGAGGTTACTTATTGGCCAAAAAACCCAATCGAGGAAGAAACATGTGATGGTTCTGGGCGCCGCTGGCCCAAACCCATTAGAAGCTTATGAAAGCTTCTTACTTCGTCCCAAGTCAATGGATCTGAGTTTGAGTAGCACAAGGATTCTTGGAGCCGAATTCAAGGAGAAAAACCCTAAAACACCCTCTTCCATATATTATAAATAGGGAGCTAAGCTAGAAGTTTTAGACACACACCTACATACTTTTACACAACGAGAGAGAGAGAGAGAGAGAGAGAGAGAGAGAGAGAGAGAGAGAGAGAGAGAGAGAGAGAGAGGCAACACACAACTTCTAGAAGAGCTTCCATCCTGGCGGCCTAGGAGACGTAGTCAGAGCTTCAAGGAGATGCCTTCATAGTCGATTGTGCCATTTATCTCTTCTATAGTTAGCTGAGCTTCTCATTTTTAGGGACGTGAATTCCACGATGCTTATATATTAGTTTATATGATTTAATGATATGATTGTGTACATTCAAGTTATCTTTGTCTATTATATCCTATCATGATTTTGATCATAATATCATCATAAGTTTCCTAAGAATATTTTCTTATATGATATGCTATTGCCTCGTGCATGTATGAATTGAATGATCCTCTTTTCTTGTATGTATGAGTATTGATGCTTGATTCACTAGACCACCAAAGCCAAAAACCAATGATATGGTTCATAGAGAACCTAAGTAGCAACATGCTATCCTTACTTCCTTGTTATGAATCATTAGTTAATGGCATCAATTGAAAGCATATATTAACTAGTTATAGTTCCTCTGGTATATGGTGAAAACTCGTTTAGGAATGCTTTAGCGGAAGAGATAGGAAATCATAATAAAATAGATGCAGGGATGCAAATAGTATGTGCGATCATCTAGATATACTACCTAAACATACTTATACTATTATCTATCTTTATATATAACTCAAAAACCAACTAAAAATAGGACACATTAACCCATCGATTTTATCTTGTATATGCATTGAATTC